ATTTTATATATATATAAAACACCATGTTTGTGCCTGAGCCATAACCAGCTACCAAGAGCTGAATTCTTCCTTCAGATCGTGGGAATACCCTTCATTCATGCTCTGAGACTTCTTGCCGTATGATGCAAATCCAACACTTCCCTTCTTGTCTGTACAGGACTTTTTTTTTTTGGTATTTTTTATTCACCCTGTGGTGAGCACTGCGCAGCAGTGTTAACTCTCTGCCTAGCACCATCAGGGGCAAATGTGCAGCCCAGCCGCCACGTGATGGTACACAGCACTGTTTCAAAACTTTCAGTACATTGGTAAGCCTGCTTGTTCCTGAGAAGTGGTTAGCCAGCTCTGGCTTTGTGTGGGTTTTTTGGGAAATGAACTATGAGAGCTTGCCAGAGTATTGACTGTTCTGTTAAATTAGTATCAGTAACTGTAGAATCCAAGTTGTGGATGCACAAGTAGTTGATCCAGTACAAACTCTTTTATGGAAGCTTATTAAAATATCCTCTATATCTGCCCTTGCTCCACAGTGACTGTCAATAAGAGGGCTGTATAGAGATGTCTTTATACGTAAAATGAGAACCATTTGCAAAGAACTTAAATGTCAAATAAGAACAATGTTTTACTTAGCGTTACATAGTGCAGGAAATGCTGGCAGATAACACAGAGAATTGGCCTCCCCATTCCAGTTCTTTGTTTAGTCACTTCAAGTTAGGGTAACCTGATTTTATACACACAGTTCTATGTCTTCATTTCCTGAAAATCTCTCTGCTCCTGTTGCTGTGCCTCAGGGCTAATATGGAATGGAAATGAACGGAATATTCCAGAGCAGTCTGTGTAATGCAGTGTTCCGTGCAGCTTTCAAGGATGTTTATGGTGATGAGCCCTTTAATGAACAAGTGAACTAAGCTAGACCTGCTGTTTCTGTGGAGTAGGAATCAACACTTCCTTCCTGGTGTTGGGATGTAATGTGTGCTGGCTGGAATGGTATCCTACCATGCTAATATTTTTTCCTTCTTTGGTGTTTCAAGGGCCTTAAACTCTGGAGTTGAGTACCACTGGGACCAGCTGAATGAGAATGTCTTCGCTGTGCATTCCAGTAGCAGGAGCACTGAGCGGCCTGGGTAAGTCTAACCCTGGGTGTGGGTTAGAGAGACCTGACCCTTTAAGCTAGTTTTGTTAGATCTGACAGCACCATTTCTTATTTATTCTGTTATCACTTATCACAGCTTTAATTATGCTTTTTTTTTTCACCTCTAACACTGCCTAGTTGGGCCACCTGGCCTGCTCCCAGTAAGTGACATTCAGTGCCCACAAGTTCTGCTAGTGCTAGTGAAGTACATGTGTCATCTGTGGCCGCAGTAATATCCTTGAGCATATGGGGTTTATTGCATCAAAACCACCATGCAAAGTAAGTGGCCTCTGGAGGATAACTGAAAGATGTGGGGGTGTTTCCCAGAGATGGATGCAAATCCATTGCGCAGTCCTGATGAATGATTTTCATCCCTTTGGTTTCTGGTCATGGGATAGTTATTTCTCAGCAATAAACTCTAAAAATAAAGCTGAATTCCTTGACAGCCCTGTTGGCTGCTTCATCCAGTCTCTCTGGTGATGCACATGTTAGTCTAAAAACAAGTGTGACGCTGCAGCCCCTTCTTGTCCTAGTGAAGAGTACTTCTCCTTAAGCCAGCTGTTCTCAGCAAGAGGGTGACAGTCATGTTTCTGAGTTGTGAGCTCCAGGATCCCAAGGAAATTAGGAGCTGATGTGCAAGGCAATGTCTGTGCTGACCTGTAGCCTTGGACTGATTTAGAGTGAAAAATAAGCAGTAGAAATTCTTTACTCTGCCATGTGAGTGGATATTACCACTACTCACATTTTTTGACAGCACATCGGTCTTGCATGGTGGGCTTAGGAGCAGCTTGAAGGCAGAAATACAGCTCAGGAATGAACTAGATCAAAGAGAGAGCCAGAAAAGTGTGGCAGATTCAAAACCTTATGGAAACAAGGTGGTGAATGAGGCAGTCTTTCCTTGAATCTCTTTACCATGCCCAGCACTTACAGCCAGAGGTCAGTTTTGGAAAGAGCATCCAAGCGTTGTCAGGGTTCAGCTCTTGTTCGGTTCTGAGAAGAAGCTAATGAGCCTTGAGGCGGTTCCTGTTGTTTGCTTCTGAGAACAGAGAATTTCTCTTGTCTGACTGGAACAGGCAGAAATGCCTGCTGGAGTGCATTCATGTGTGACGCTGACAAACTAGGAGGTCCAAGAGGAAGGAAAGGATACAGGCTGCGTCCTTGGGAGTTTAAACTGCCCTGCCAACGTGCAGAGGGAGATTGTGTGTGTGTTTGTGGTCCTGCGTGTTGTGTTGCCTACTTGACTCAGTGACCCTAAGACAGAGTTGTTCTGCAGGCTTAGTGATGCTGCAGGATTATCTACACGTGCCTGTCAGAAACACTGCTTCAGTGGAAGGGTGAGTGGACTGTAAGACTGTTGGCTTAAAACTCGAGACCAGCTGAGTCTGTGTGTGTGTAAATAAGTGCAGGTCACAATTCTCTCCCGTCTGAGCCACACAGTGGCTACCAGGTGCCTGATTGGAGTGGAGGCAACCAAGAGGCTTAGGTGGATGCTTCAGTCTTGCTGGAGCATGTTGACTCCGACGTTCCTGGTCTTACTTGTTTTTCTCTCTTTTCAGAACCAGCAGAGCCACATGGAGGACAGACAGGGACATGGGCCTGATGAATGCCATAGGCCTGCAACCCCGAAACCCCCCCACCTCTGTGACTTCACAGGGTACCCAGACCTTGGCACCTCAGCTG